TTTTTATATGTCTCCGAGAAAAGAGAAAAAAGGTCGACTGCTACTGCCAAACCACAGTATCCTTCCATTTTAATTTCTCTTGGTAGCGTCTACATAAAAAACCCACTTTGCTAAATAGTAGGAGATTAAGCAATTGTTATTCTTCATTTAGCTTTAATTTAACATGTATTATTAAATTTGTAAACTGCCCAACTCCCAGAGTGATAGTTGCACCTTTGCTCCTTTCCAACTATCGTATTCTAATGACTACGGAAACAGTGCACGATGCATTCTACATTGGTGGCTCAGCAGAACTTCTAAAACTTTGCCCTTTCTGCTGCACTCCACTGGCATGAAATTTTTATCAGGGATAGCAAATCCATGCTACAGAGAAGAAAAATGGTTTCTGTAAAAAAAAAGAGTACATGAGTGGACCAGCCGTGAGGATTTTAAGAAAAGAATACAGACCCAATAGAGCTGAAGGAATGGGATTTGAGTAATATCTCACACACACACGTATACAGATACACAACCTCATTTTATAGAGAAAAAACTTCTGGGAAAAAGGAAACTCTGGCTCTTTTTCAAAAGCTCCTGAAAGAAGATATTTCAAGGTGAGTTTACCTATCCCAAGTGATTAGGACGAAGGTCTAAATGGGATATAGTTATCTCCTTCAGAATGTGGGAGGGGGAGTGAAATCTGTCCCCCTTCTTCTGCCTTACTGCTCTGAGCTCCCTTTCTGCTTGCAAAGATTGTTAGATGACAAAGGTACAGACAGAGACTTACAACACCAATATATCATAGAACCTCACGTCTATCTGTTTGACAGCTGAAAGTCACAGGGCTAAGGGAATGCCACAATATCGACCCAAAAGCAAACAACAACAAAAACATCCAGAAGCCGCCACCTTTAAAATCATATATTGAACAATGAAGAATCTAGAATGATTAGAGATTTAAAAAACAACCATTCCCCAATGGATTTCTTCCCCAAGATGGTATTATCCAAAGAAGTTTCTTTTCCTTCATATTAATCACTGATAAAGACTGTGTGTGGAATGGCAGGGGGTTGAAAAGAAAATCAAAATAAAGCACAACAAAACCAACACAACCACAGCAAAACAATCATATCACTTATACAAGGAGCATCACACACCCCACGATGGGGCCACAGCATCCATCAGCTCTACATCCACTTCCCCCATCCCAGGTCTTCATGGCCTTCTGGAGGGCTAAACAGGTAGGGACCTGCCAGATCTCAGGTGGGGGCCTGTTCCAAAGGGCTGGGGTGGCTACAGAGAAGGCACATGTCCTTTTCAGCAATATTGTGAAGCAGCTTCAGAACACAGAGGATAGCCCAAGCATTTATTTAGCTCAACTTAATTGAGTTTCTGCAAGGCTAGCTCAGGAATTGTTCGAGTCCTTCATCTCAGGTAATTTGGTTCTCGCAGCTTGCCAACTCAATTCCTTGACTCATCACCTCTTTCAGCAGACAGCCAAGAAACTCAGCAAGATATAAACACAAACAGAAGAGAGAGCTGGGAAGAGAATGGCAGGCAAATGCTGCAAAGGTGCCCGGACCATTCTGAAAGCATTGATCATGGTCACTCAGTGAAAGCAGGAAGCGGGCCAGCCTTCTCTGCTCCTTGTAGGAGCATCCTGGAGGGAAGCCTCCAACTGATTGTGGGGGCAGCTAGAACAGGAGTTACTAGCCACTGCAAACAACATTGAATGAGTGGTGTTAACAGTAAAGGTGAGTCAGAGCAATGTTAGCAGGATGTTAAGAATGAAAAGAAGCAAAGTTCCTCCCTGGGAACAGCAATGAAATAAGCTCAGATAAAGGTGACAATGATGCAGCTGGAAGGCTACACTGATGAGGCCAGTTGCAGCCAGGAAAAGGGGAACCATAGGTTTATGGATGTTCATTAGAGGCTGTGAGTTCTTTTACCTGCCCTTTGCACATGATTTGGTAGCTGTTAGCTCTCTAGATTGAAAGCAGGCCTGGCATTGTTGAAACTGAAGCTGCTGGCCATGGTAGAACAGCCCTACTGAGTGACACAGCATCAGGCACCCTGAAGTTATATTTTGCTAGTTTCTCTAAAACTGATTATAGTTCCTAAGTATTGAAATATTGTTCCATGTATAATTTCATGCATATAAAACTCATTTAAAAAAAATTATGTCCACAAACCCTTTAAAAAAGAGATTCCAGGAAGATTACCTGAAGGAGCATCTTCTCCCTGATGTACCTACTGGACCTTAGGATCTTCTAATGAGGCCCTCCTCCAGGTCCACCCACCAAAGGAATGAGGTGGGCCTCTACAAGGCAGAATGCTTTTTCTGTGATGGCCCCCCATTTATGGAATGCCCCCACCAGAGAGGCTTGACAGGTGCCCACATTACATCATTTTGGTGCCATGTGAAGACCTTTCTACTTTCCCAGGCTTTTAATTGGCTTTGAACTGCATTTTAATTTATACTGGTTTGATTTTAATAACCTCTTTGCTGTTGCCTAGTTGGTATGGTTTCTCCATTTTGTATTTTATTTGATTTTATCGTATAGGTTTTTATTCAAGTTATATCCTTTAATATGTTTTATTGTGAACTGCCCAGAGAACTTGGCTATTGGGTGGTTAAAACAAATTTTAATAACAAACACCAATATATGGTTTAAAGTTGTAAAGGCAGAGGAAGTCATTTGACAATGAACTGAAGGATCTTTTTCACAATGGTCTAACCCAAAGAAAAGCCAACATTTTATAGTGCAGTCAGCTTATGGTATTGCCTCAGACTTGTGGGATCTACAAACATACACTTTATTCAAAGGTGTACTTTATGTGCAAGCTACAATCTTCCAGTTTTTTAATTATTATTATTATTATTATTATTATTATTATTAATGACTGATGAAAGCTTCTTTGCAACCTTTTTAATTTATGAGTGATGAAAGCTTCTTTGTTCCTTTGCATCCGAAGGGGATGGGGAAAACCTCTTAACACCTATGTGAAAGCCCCATTTTCTGGTGGTCCATCCAAGTCTTAACAGATCAGGTATGTCCTCCACAAGAACAGTGCCTTCAGTGAATTGCGGATGGCTTCCTCATTAAGCCTGATGGGGGAGGGATGTAGGACACAGGCCTTCTTTTTCAGCAATACTTGTTTCTAGGTTGATTCAAACAGCAGTATGTATGTATGTATGTATGTATGTATGTATGTATGTATGTATGTAT